TCGTCTCTACAATAAATCAAAATATTAGCTGGGCATGGTAGCATGCACCTGTAGTTCCGGTTACTTGGAAGGCTGAGGCGGAAGGATCACTGGAGTCCAGCAGGTCAAGGCTGCGGTGGTCGGGAGCGTGCCACTGCACTCCAGTTGGGGCGATGGAGTGAGATTCCAACTCAAAAAAAAAAAAAAAGGAAGAAGAGGATAACAAAGACAATATATACTAGACTTTGTGAGTTACTTGTCAAAAATAATTATAGCTTCTAAAGAAATAAATCATAGCCTCCGATCTAAGCTATTAACAATGATTTGTGTAAATGAAAACAATAAGGGTCAGAATAAGGTACCTGAGTGACTTTTGGGCTAGTGAGAAATTACTGTGACTCTAGTTGACCACCAGTTGTAAATAACTAGCATGTTAGAGACAAGACACTGCTATTGAGTGAAGTGGGTCAAATTTTGTCCAGTACAGGCAGGTTTAAATGACCAAACAGGAAACTATGATATATATTATTTCCTTTCACACAAACCGCCACCAGATGTGGCACTACCCAAAGCCCCAAGAGCAGAGAGATGAAAGGCAAAGGCTGGAATTTGAAAAAAGTTCCTGAGGCTGTTATTAGGAGGTTTTTTTCCTTAGAAATCAGGGAGAGGCAGCTAAGTTTGTGCTTTAACTAGGAACATGCATTCTGGTTTGAGCAACTTTGAGAGGATTAAATCCAAGTAGGGCTCCCCCCACCTTGTACTTGTATTAAAAATATTTACAGTGAAAAAAATAATGAAAAAGAGCACCCAGGGAATCTTTGCCTCTTTCTCACGTTTTCCCACTATTCTTCTTAGTCTCGTGCAGTTCCTTACCCAGGACTCACCCTGAGCGTTATGTTGCCAGTCTCATTTTCCCATTTGTCTCCCAGCAGTGACTGTCTATATTTTATCAGAGTCACTACCAATGACAACACACAGCTTTCTGAGGACATGTAATCAACATCCTCTACATTTGAGAGGATGTTGAAGCATGGACACATTGACCTAAATAACTGTAATTAGGACATGTTACTAAATGGCAACCTTCTGAAATAATATCACCTTTTATTCCTGGTTACCCCCCAAGTTGGTCTTGGCAATTATTTCCCAATAAATCTTACTCTGTAAATCAATTATCAGATGCCTGACATTTAAAACATAAATATAATTCTGCAGTGTTCATGATGGACATATTTTGAAGCATGGGTGGAGACGTTTCCATTTCCAACTCTGGTTAAATTGAAAGAAATCCTATGAAACGAATCCAGAGGACTCCTGTTCACTCACACTCTCTTCTTGGATCATTCACTCAAAATATTAACTCCAAGATCCCAACCCTCACTGAATATGTAAACACACTCTAGTGATTCAGTTCATGTTTACTGAATCAGGTTGTGCTTTCTATCTGGTAAATAAGATAAAGACTAATTTTCACTTGAAGATGGTACATTCATTTTCTTTCCTAAACTGCTAGTTTTTTGCCTGATAATTGTTGGACAGTGATGCATAATACCTAAATGCTTTATTTTATTTTTATTTTTTAAACATATTTTTTATTTTAAAATTGTGGGGTATAGTTAAAGGTTAGGTATACAAATATGCATC